ACTTACTTTCAGCATTTCACAGAAATCTGCAAAGTTCAGTCTTAGACATTGGTTGCATTTTCGGCTTTAGACTAGGGGTGGGTGATATGGCAAAAACATAACATCACAATACTTCAACACATTTCTTTAATACACGATATACATCATAATATTTAGGTTTTTGAGGATTCATAGCCAAAAAAAGGAGACAAAAAGTGAAATGCAGTCAAAACTATAAACAATCATTTTTATTCACTGGTTCAGGTACTGCACTGGACGGAATCATCAGGACTGATTATGCTCTCTTTCTAATGAAACACGCGGCTGGTCAGCTTTAAGTACCGACGATATATATTTTGCTCAGAAAAGCATATTATAGCATAATGTGATGATCATAATTAATAATATCATATTGCCCACCTCTACTTTAGACTCATTAAACCATAAAACCTTACTCCACATCTCAGACGTGCAGATTTAGGGTTCTATTGTTAATGTTCTTCTGTTTTGTCTCCTTTTCTCAGTGAGGTTCTTCTTGACAGCTACACATCCTTTCAGACCCACAGCGCTGAGTCGTCTTCTCACAGTGGAAGGATGGACAGAAACACCTGTGGATGTTTTCAGATCTGATCAGCTTGATTTTCTCCTCTCTCTCAGAGATGAAAGCTTTAAGTGCTGTTTGTCTGATCTGAAGGTCTTGCATGGTTGTTAAGTGTCCCAGTGTCTTTATGTATTTTAATCATTTCTGAACAAACTGTTATGAACTCCTGTTTTCATTTATTTCTCCTTCGACTTTCTGCTTCATTATGCTAGAGGATTATTATTATTGCTTTACCAGTTTAGAAGCGCATGAGAAAGATATTTGGGTGTGGTGTTGTAGTTGTTTGTGTGACTGTTAGTGTCTCATTGAAAGGGAACATGATGTCAGAGACACGTTTGGGAACCGCTGTCATTGGCAGCACAGCTGTAACGTGTTTATAAGGATAGAAGAGTTAAAGTAGCAGTAGGGAGCACAAATTAAATGCCTTATTGTGATTAATATCACCCTTATTAAGGAAAAATGTTGTTTTGGCTAAGTGTGTTAAATGTCAGCCATTATTCTTTCCAAATTTCTTCATGTACAGAAATGTGCAAAGTTTTATGCGAGACAGTGATATTTAAAATGTTTTTTTATCTACGCAGTAAGCAAAACACTAATATTAGAATAAATACAAAAAAATACTAATTTTACCAAAACAGTTATTTTATGTATCTCAGTGGACTGTTCGACTGAACTAGTCCAAACTGCAGCCTCACAGTAAAAAGGACTAAAAAATGATTAAGTAATCAGACAGGATATTTGCACAGATTATCTTACACACACCTGCATTTCAGAGCAGGAAGTGAGGCTGCATCCCTGTCCCTCATGGCCACATGGTGAGCAGTTAGATCCCATTGTTTTGCAGTAAATGTGTCCCAAAGTCTGAAGATCAGTGCATATCATTAAGAATTAAGAATCCTTTTGTGTATTATATTGTATCGTGTATTGAATTATGACTTTGTGTGTAAAACTGTTCAAAGCTGTAATTTTTAGTCATGTACTTAGTAGCATTTTGAGTTCTGCTCAAAATTAGCTAAAACTGTCACTACCGAAGCATTTGGTAAAGTTTTGGATGCGTTAATATAACATTAGTAGTGATGAAATGGAATGTTGAATCATTTGTATTAATAAAATACACATAATTAAGGTAGAGGGCCATTTAAAGCCAAAAGATTTTGGTCTAAAATCAAGTCTGAAACTTGTTTTCAGCTCTGACTTTGAACCAGTTCAGTAGATCCCAACGTGTCTCTATAACCAGTATTACAGCTAGTTATCATCCAATAACCGCTTTGCCTAATCAGTCCTTCGTTATGTCAAATGAAGTGTCGAGATGGTGAATTCTAACGAATTAATGCGATGGCTGGAGCATCGAGGAGAAATCTGACAAGTCTTTGTTCTTCTAACCAGCTCACAAGATATAAGCTATTATTTATAAACAAGACATTCTTGTTACTTTTTACTTCATTTACATTCATTATAATAGTTTAATATTAACTTTTTCAAGCAAGAACACTTTTATGGTAAAGATAAATGGTTTTAAACAATATGCTTAAGTGCCTAAGAATTTTGCTCAGTTCTGCATACATTAACTTTGTGTGTCCATTAGGCTCTGTTTCTTACTGTAAGAGAGACGAGCAGAACTTATAAATATGCATCATTAACATGCAAACTGACAACTAATCATTGCCAATTTGAATCAATGCTTTTCTTTAAAAACAAGTAATGGTGAGAGACACAGTCGCTTTATGAGCTAAAAAAATCTGTGTCTCTGTAAAACCTTAACGTCAGAATCTGAAAAGCACTATAAAGCCTGCTTTAATAAAGAATACAGCTTTAGCACTGGAGCTGCAGTTCCTTCATCCAAAAATATCACACAGCTATTTTTAGTACTGTGTGTGTGTGTGTGTGTGTGTGTGTGTGTGTGTGTGTGTGTGTGTGTGTGCAAGCATGCACGTGCATGCAACGTGTGTGTGTGAGGAAAAAGGAGGCTTTTAAGGGAGGGGGGGGTGAGGTGCTGTGATGTAATCAGAAGTGAAATGTGCCCAAACAGCGTGGGCTTCACCTGTTAAAGATTCATCACACTGTTTCTGAGGAAAGATGGAAGAGGAGGCGCTTTCAAAGGCTTTTTATAATCAACACAGACAGAGCAGCTCCTACAGAGGGGAGAGCGAGGGATGACATGGGCAGAGAGAGCGAGAGAGAGCGAGAGAGAGAGAGAGAGAGACAGAGAGAGAGAGCGAGAGAGCGAGAATGTTACTTGAACACGACAGTGGAAAGTATTATATAAGTGTGACTCTGACTCCAGTGAGTGGACGTTCAGGACTGATTAATAAAGCATGATATCCATTAAAAAACATGGTAAACATTACACAGATCATAAATCCTCTTTAAGAGAAAATGATTTGCCACCATTTCATGTTCCCGATATCCATCACGGTGCTTTTGTTTCAACAGCCACAGAAGTTCATCATCAATTATTGAGTGAAATATTATAATTAAATATTGATGCTGTAATTATTGGGCAGCTGATGCTATAGAAATACAGCTGGATGTAAAGGAACGGTTCATGTTTAGTTTGTAAATGAAGCTGGAAAGATGCTGTTTGCTAATATGATTATTAACTAATTGTATTATATTGTAACGACGGCATCACTTACCACGGTTACCTTCCTGCACTGTATATCTAAATAATACTGTATTTTGCACTTCTGGTTAGATGCTAACAGCATTTCATTGGCTCTGTACCTGAACTCTGCACAGTGACAATAAAGTTTAATCTAATCTAATCTAGTCTAATCTAATCTAATCTAGTCTAATCGAATATGAAAAAGACAAAATATCTAACCTACGTGCCTCATTTCAAAAGAGATGAAATGTTAGTTAAAAAGTCAGTGGAGTCAATTATTCAGTTTTCATAGTTCATACAAAATAACCTCTATAATGAAGGGCAACAGAAAGAACGAAAGAAAAATAAGAGCTCAAACCTAAAATAAATATTTTCACGTTGCGCTTTTTTTTATATACAGATTAAGTAACGATAAGCAACTTGGTTTGGCGTCAAACGACATCGTCGTTGTCGAGGGGCGTGGTCACGCCGTAGTCGGGGGCGTGGTCTGCCTCCAAAACCGCATACAACCACACAATTCATACTCCTACGGAAGTCCAGAGAAGCCATGAGGGAGCTAGGATGTTCTGGATTGTTATTTTGAGACAACGAGTTATTTATCTTGCTATCTCAAGAAAACAGCTCATGGACATTCTCTCTATTTTATATACTACTTAGTTTGGTAGAGGCCGGTTTTGGACGCAGCCGTCGTCAGGGGGCGTGGTCATGTTGTCAGATTGGTGGTCGTGTTGTTGTCAAGGGGCGTGGCCGCATCTCGGCGATCACAACACCCTCATCCGAGTAAATAATAATAATAATAATAATAATAATAATAATGATGATGAACTGAGCGCCGCTCTGGTCTGTCTGACTGACACTAAACGCAAAGCGCGTTTCGTCTGTCGATGAACTTAAATTCCGGTCGAACAGCAGCAGATTTTAAAAGTGAGGAAGCGAAGTTTCTGGAAGAGCAGAGGCAGAGCGCTGAGTCTGGACCCTCCTGGACCCTCCCGGAAACTCGGGATGTTAAAGTGACGGACACACCGAAAACTGAAAGGACGGGAGTTTTAGAGACAGTGTTACATTCTGACCAGCAGATGGCGCTGATACTCCGTCACTGTGCCTCATCCCAACTGGCCTTGGAGTTTTAAACAAAATTCAACAGACACCGAAACAGCCCCCCAAACAGCCCCCAAAACACCAAAACAGCCCCCCAAACACCGAAACAGCCCCCAAAACAGCCCCCAAAAACCAAAACAGCCCCCCAAACACCGAAACAGCCGCCCAAAACAGCCCCCAAAAACCAAAACAGCCCCCCAAAACAGCCCCCAAAAAACAAAACAGCCCCCCAAAACCAAAACAGCCCCAAAACACCGAAACAGCCCCCCAAAACCAAAACAGCCCCAAAACACCGAAACAGCCCCCAAAAACCAAAAAAGCCCCCCAAAACACCGAAACAGCCCCCCAAAACCAAAACAGCCCCCAAAACCAAAACAGCCCCAAAAGCGACATATTGGTGGACCATGGTTTGTTTACACGCCTGTTTGTGTGAGGAAAGATCTGAGTGTATTTTGCTCTATTTTAGTCATGAAGCTCAAATTCGCTTAATTTAATAAAGTCAGCTCGCTTCACTGAAAACAGATGTTTGAGGAAAATCTTCACAAACGTTTTTCATCAGACAGAACCTACAGAACCTACAGAACCTGCTGAGCAAAACAAGGGAGAATGTAATTTCCATGAGCCCCCCCCCTCTCTCCCCCCTCTCTCCCCTCTCTCTCTCCTCTCTCTCTCTCCTCTCTCTCCCCTCTCTGTACTCCTCCCCCCCCCCCCCCCTCCATCTCTCTGAGCCTCTCTGCACCGTAAGTTCTCAGTGGGCTGAAGCTGCTCAGCTGTTCCGGCGCTTTTCACGGCGGTTCTGTAAAGGGGTTCTGAGGGAGGCGATGGCAGAGCGGTACGCGGACCGGACCGGCTGTGTTTGGGACAGAGACTGACGCTGCTGCCCGTTCTTCGCTCTTTCCCAGTTCTGTCTCCGTGACTCGCCGCTCTCACCGCTCCGGCTCGAGCGGACTCGCCTCGTCCTCGTGTGAGAAGCCGTTTGGGTACAATGGGCTGCTGCACCGGCCGCTGCACCCTCATACTCCTCTGCACTTTCCAGCTGGTGAGTAAAACAGCAGCGCTTTGTCTTCAGCGCGGACGGCGCTCATTCACCCTCAGTCCGCTGCGCTACGTTAGGGTTCCGTCTGAAGTCGAACTTACGCATTTGCGAGCGTCGCCCCTGATTTCTGAGCGCGTTTCCAGTTTCTGACTGAAACAGACACAGAACTGTGTGTTTCTCCGGGACCGGGTCTCCCTGTGGATCCATATGGACCATATGGTTAAGTGCTTAACCTGAAGTAGCCCGGAGAGCATTTAGGGCTCCGAAAAGGAGCTGTTTGAAGTAAAACTTTGGCTCATGTCCAAACCTATTGTGTGTGTGTGTGTGTGTGTGTGTGTGTGTGTGTTTGGGGGGTATTAAGCTAAATAATTGAAACTATTAGCTGCTGCCCATTACACCCAAAAGCGGACGCTGTTCGCAGCACTGAAAGTAGTTTCTCACACTGCTCTGAAGGTGTTTGACCACTGAATTGGTGATAAAGAGACTCAGTGGCAAAAATCAACAGTTTAACCGTAACTACATCTGTTTAAACATGCTTTTCTCATACAGTGGTTTCACAGAAAGCTAAAAAATAAAAAAGAAGCAACCGGCTTGTTAGACTTACAGAGAACTTTAAATACTTTACTTGTGTTGTCCTTAAGTAACCGATTTATCAAAAAGAGACAATTTGATAAATAAAAATGAAAGCGCATAGCAATAAATGCTGAGAGATTAAAACTGAATTCCAGTTCACTAAAACTCAAATAAATCGCACTGCAGTGTTTCAGTGTTGTTCCATCAGCAGCTGAGTTTATGTTGATGTAATGTAGTCCTTGTATACTGACTCTACTCTATTCAATTGAATGGAAATGTGTGGCATAACTAAATTAAGTTCATACGATTTATTATTTTCACTGTACACTTTGAGAAATAAAGGTCCTAAACTGTCTCTGGGTCAGTTCCCCTCCTGTCACTGGGGTGGAACCCTTAAGGGTCCATCTCAGTACCTTCAGTCAGGGAACATAACTGAACCATAATCCACTGAAATGATATGTTCTAAGCTGTACTGACTCCACACACCCCGTCTCGTCTCCAGGCTTTTATTTTACTGTTCTGTTTAAAACATTCGGTTATGAAAAGGTACAAATACGAACTTTTCACCTGGAAAAACTTATTTAAGGTTCACAATCAGACCTTAAAACCACTGTTGGAGCTTTGAGGGAACATTTACACTGTTTGTACCTTGATGAACAGAAAATGTACCTGAACAGAACCTTCATTTCTAACAGTGTGGTCTCTAGAGCTGTATGTATTTTGAAAGTGGGAAGCCAGATAGCTAACAGTACATAATGTCTCTATTCATTATCCTCTACATTAGAGGCTTTGCTAGCAGTCATAGTTGAGGGGGGTTCCTAATGGTTGTATGATGTATTTCCATAATGCATGCTGGCTATTGTAGTGAGATTCTGTGAATTCTGTCAAACCAGTGAGGCTGAGGGATGCACTGCTGTTTTACAGGATATAACACAACATGGTAAATAACATAGTAAAAGCTAGTTATTGTCCGGAATAAGACTTTAACTAGTCACTGAAAAGTTGTTGGTTCTGTATCCTGGAGCCAACAGATTTTGTCACCTAAGACCGTAACAATCAGTCAGTTCTGAAATGGACGAAACACTCTTGGAGTAGTTAAATACACTTATGCTAGTTTTCATTATGACTGTAGAGCAGTGGTCACCATTACTGCTTCCTTAGATCTGCCTTCCTGCAGATTTCAGCTCCAACTCTAATCAACCCCACCTGATACGTCTAATTATTGCCTTCAGAAGGACTTGATTGAAGGCAATAATTGATGAAGTGTGTCACATATGGGTTGAAGGTGAACCAGCAGGAGGAGGATTGGTGACCACTGCTGTAGAGGAGGCAGTAAACAAACTGTGGCCAACACAACGAAGATCCGCCCCCAGCAACTGACATAAATGATGACCAACAGTTCAACCAATTCTTTGCCAGAGTGTGACACTTACACACCCTAAAACGGGGGGTTTATTAACAATTATTATAAAAACAGCTCTAGAATCAACAGAACTCTAGAGCTATGAAACTTCTACTGTGAAATGCACTGTGTGGATCTACAGCTCTCCAACCAAGCATTGATTGAAACGCTTATTGGAAGTGAGTTCATGGTGAGGACAGAGGATATGACCCCCACTCAGTGTCGCCTCCAGCGCGTAATTGATCTATTTGCTCTGTATCCAAAAATAGCCTAATAATTCTGTCCTTGCAGTCATCAAAGAGGCTTAATTCTGAATGTGTATCTGTCTGGAAGGTCTACTGACTGCAGGACGGGCTCACTGAAACCACACAGTGACTTGCTAGTGTAGTAAAACTCCTTCACATCACCCGACTGACACGATGCCAAAAGCAGAACACAGTGCCGTGTGTAGACTCAAAGCAGTTGTTATGTGGGATTTCATCAGTACAGTACATACAGCGCGTGTGGAAGGTTGTTCTCCAGTGCGTGTTCCCTCCTTTCCCCACGATGAAGCATCGGTGCTGACATTGTTGATGTGTTCTGTCACTTACCTGGTGTGAGGTTGCATATCTTTCCCCCTGCTGACGTCCCCTGATACCTGCAGCCCCACTGCCTCTCTGAATCCTCCCTGACAGAGTCATTAAGATCTGCTGACACCTGTCACCTCAGGCCGAGGAATGTCATGTACATTATTCACACAAGACATGTGGGAACACGTATGTGCACCCAGACACACACTGTACATGTATGGTTTTATGGTGTCACAGTTTATTAGGTGAACCTTCCTTGTAGCTGCACTTATTGGCCATTTTATGAGGTGCTCCTAACATGTAGGTCCACTCTGTAGGTTTTTACTAACTGTAGCCTTTCTGGTACTGCACTGCCCTCTACACTGTCCATCAGCGAAAAGGAACCACAATAGAACTGTTCTGGAAGAGGCGGTGTGGGTGGCGAACTATTCTGAGCAGAGCAGTGACAGTGACAGGTTAGGGGACATTCAGACGACGTCTTTCAGCACTTCTTTTCATTGTTTTTCATTTATATATACACATGAAAAAAGTCTGGTTCCATTGACTTACATTAAAAGTGAAGTATGTTTTTTCCATCACTTGTAAAGTTACCATTTTGGAGATACGAGGTTTTCTTCTGACAACAGCGACACACACACACACACACACACACACACAATGGTAATGGATACTTGTTACGGTAGAGGCTCTGAAGGGGCACTTGAGCTTTTGGTAGTTTTCAGGTTTTTGATTTGTCTGTATTTCTCCCACAAGCACTATCCAGCGTAGTCTGCTGAAGGCGTCCTTCAGTGCTAATGCTCCTGATATTACTGATAGTTCCAGCATCAGCACTTTGTTTTACTTATTTAAGACGTGACATTTAAGGCTGGAAAAACCCAAAAGATTAAACAGGACTACAACAATATTAAAATCTAAGACTTATAATAATAATAATGTTTATGACCACAAGAAGAGGTAAATTCAGAGTTGTTCAAACAGTTTAAGCAGCAGCAGATAAACAACAAAAACATCTGTTAATCCTGAGTATCAGAGGAAGATACCACACCCAAAACATTCTACTTCATAAGTTTGATACCACTTGAAAATATGACATCCCAGTCGATATACAGCAAACAGCAAAACAACAGAAGCAGAAAGGAAAGCCCCTGTTAGCACGACAGCGCCATCTGTAGCCTCAGCTTTGGAAATGACAAAAACAAACAGCCAAACTGCAAAATATAACTAAAAAATCAAAGGAATTCTTTATTTTGGTCCACCCACCGCTCTCTGTTGTCGGGTATGTTGGATTTCATAGGTGCATTCTGTGGTCTACGTAGTCGCATGTAGGTAATTTTAGGATGTTTATTTTATGTAAACTGTCAGTTTAGTTTTATCCTGTTGAAAGCAGATTTTATCAGTGATAAAATGTGTTTTCTCTATTACCTTGTCGTTGTTATGTTTAGTACATTTATTCAAAAGCACAAATTGAACAGTAAACAAAAAAACCCTTTCGGGTTGTAGTTTTTGGCCAGGTGTGGCTTGAATTTTGGTTTCAGCCAGGAATTTTCATTTTTGTGCTGTTTCAAAATGTTTATCAAAATGTATTTTGTGTTCTATCAAATCAAAATCTCTCAAAAGTGTTTACCTGCTTGTCAGTCAAACACATTAACCCGACCCCTGAGAAGCACATGCTGCTTCTTTTTAAGCCCAAAACACGGCTCACTCTTCTTTTAAAAAGCTGTGAACGTCTCCTTAGTGTGCTAGTACAGCAGAGTTGTGATGGATGTCAGTGGACCTGTATGGTAGGTGTAAAGTGACCAGCTTATGTAGGTACAGTGTAGATGTGCCTAATAAACTCAGTGTATATGAATCTGACACCTATACACTCTTTAGACCTCCTCCGTCTCTGACCGTTGACAGAATGATTCCCTCTTTTCATTTTGAGGTGCCTCTGGGGGGAAGCAGACTGTTGGCTTTGATGTTGTTGGCTGCTTTTATTTAGCTCACTGTTAAAAGCGCTCAGCTTGGCTAACTGGTGTCAGTCTACGAAAGGATTTTAGCTGTAGATAAGTGTTCGCTGACAAAGTGTTCAAAGACAGCCTGTATTTATCTCCAGCGCTCCTTGGTGGCAGAGGGAGTGACGACATCCTCTTCTCTCGTACTGTGTTGAGATGAATCATCAACCAGCTGAGTGAACAACTTTCACTTCTACAGCTTTTATAGCATTAATTTAACTGGTGAAGAGAGAGATTTACCTCTGTTTGTGTGTGACCCAGTTCTCACTCCTCACTCATCCTTCTGTTTGGATATGTGAGCCACAACTAGTCAGACCCTTGATGAACCAGTGTTAGCGTTCAGTATATTTCAGTGTGGAATGATCCCAGATAGTTTGGAGCAGGGCCATTCGACCAGGTCAGAATAGTAGCATTGTGGTTATACTGATGACATAAATACCTTAGAAAGAAGTCACATCGATAGGA